AAAGATTATCAAAGAAAAAATTTTTAAAATAATTCTCTGATTTTTAATAAAATTCCATGTGAATTCCCTGATTTTTTTAGGTACAAAAGAAATCCCTAAGAATTTCAGGTTTTTCATATTTTTCCAGGGTGTAGATACCCTGTTATATTATCATATCAATCATTCTGATTCTTTTTTATAGAATGATTATAACTCTAAATTATATAAAAAATAATATAGCTTTGATGCATTATCATTTTATTTAAAATATTTATATTTTAGTTTAATATTTAATTTTAATATTTTTAATAAACTACAAATCAAACTTCAACAGTGTTCTACAAATAAGATTAAAATACAATAAATAGAATGTTGTTTTATACACACAAGTACACGCGTGCTATTATAATATCAAAAACAATCATCTACAAGATGATCGCGTTTTTCTTTCGCAAACTTTCGGGATTATCGATGCAATGATTGCAGTCTTGGCGAGGGTGACTTCGCAATAGACGACGGTTCATCATCAAGGATTAAGTATAGCCGCGACCAAAAGCCGCGACCATAAAAGAGAATTTTCCAGATCTGATGGTTTTAGTTACGGTGGGTTCGTGGAGTATTATAGTAGGATTGAGATCGATATCCGCATGGCGGACCCGGAACAAGATCTTCCTTCTCTTCTTTTCACTCTTTTCCGGTATTCCCCTCTTTATGTCTCCTCTCTGTTTGTTACGCTTCGCGTTCTCTTTTTTTCTCTTTCCCAACCGTTTTCTTCCCTATATCGGTGTTTCTTTCTTTTTCTCTCTCTTTCATCAGTGTTCTCTTCAATACTCGAAACAATATCCGCAGATCTAATGCAAATGTATAAAAATGTATGAGATGCTGTACTTTTTATTCGGAGATTGTACAAAGCCTCTTGAAACAATTTCGGCATACAAATGATATCTAAGTCAAGATTATTGCAAATGCTAAAGTGCCCAAATAACTGTTATGGTCTAAACAAATAGTTCTTCTTCAATGTTACTAGCAATAACGCATTAAGGGTCTATCGTTAAATTTATTTTGGGATATTCTCTTTTTTGAAGATTAAATATATTTCTTCATTATACATATAACGCTTGACGTATATTAAATGACACGGCGTATTTTGAAAATTCATTGAAAATCCAGACTCTGTTCTCTCTTTTCTGTCGTAGCAAAAAAGAGAAAAAAACGCGAGAGAAAATCAAGTATTACAGCATAGAATGTTCACTCGGGCAACGCCACGATCGCGTGCACGCGTGTATCGTACATCAGAGATGCCCAAGTGTGGATTCGGTTAAGAGTCCCCTTGCACCGCGCTTGTACATTCTCACCACCACTAACTTATCACGCTTGTCGATTCGCATCGTAGACTAGGGGAAGTGGGGGTGAATATATGTAGTGGGAGAAAATGGCCCGCAGGCCACGACTCGGACACGACTCTGTATGTACATACGTGAATGAGCGTACAGCCATATATACGAGCGCGCGTGTATACACGTATACATACACACATACATATACAAATGCAGTAAACCTGTACGCGGCATAGTCAGTGATTATATTTTGATATAATTCGAGAGAGTGAGAGAGGGCGGCCGTCGCGAACGGCGGGGGTAGCTAGCTGATGGGCCAAATAGGATGAAGGCTGGAGGGGAGGATTGGAGAGAGTCGTGACGGCACGGGGTTGTCGAGGCTGCCTGAAGCGTGCAGGCGCGTACACACAGAGCACAGAGCGTGGAACGACAAAGCGGCCATTACAGGATGGGTGCGGTCCCGCGGGCCAATCAGAGAGTGGTGCCGGGGACTGGTCGGCCAATCAGGACGCGCTTTCCACCCGTCTTTTGTTTCTAAATTTGCTCGTGCGACAGGGACACAATATAACGAGGCGCGAGACAGAAAGAGGAGCTGATAATCGTTAACGGGGGATATTTTTGCTCGGGGAGCGGCGTCTTTCTCCCTCCATCGTTCTCAACCCTCATCCCTGCCGCGCGCGCTTTGCTCTTTATTCCCGAGCCTGTTTTCGTCTCTCTTGGGCTGAATTTACGAGTCACTTAGACGCCACACAGCGTCTTCATACATTATTTGAATTTCGAAGTTTTTGAACTTCGTAAAGTGTCAAAAAGATATTATTGTCAAATTAATCTGGAACTTACAGATTAAATTTCAAGGATTTAAGCTTACTTTTTTCTAATTTTTTCCATATTTATTGTCTTATATCTCTTAAAAAGTTTCTAATCCTTTTTTGATTACTTTACAGTGTTCTTATCTTTTATTTTTCTAATATTATAAATTTCATACATATATTCGCTTTTTTCGATGTGTTTTTATAATACATATTATAATATTACACATGTCTTATTATATTTATTATTTAACCAACTGTATTCATTAATCTGACACTGTTTTCTTATATATTAATAATATACAAATTATTATTATATGTTTTAAATTTTATATTTCTATGCATACATAATCGATTTTTAGATATTTAAAAGATTTTAAGAAGTACTTGATTAATATAATTGATTCAAGAGATTTTTAAATAAAAATGTTTTGGCATCGTTGAATAAAAACCGACAATTTTATTTTTTTTAATATCAATCATAT